ATCGCGCGACCCTGCCCGTGAGCAATCTCCCAACTCATCTCTGGTTGAAGTGTGTTGAAGCCAGTCTGTGATTGAGAACAAAAGATGGCGTCTGCCTTGGAAAACTTGGAGACTCAGCTCGAGCTTTTTATTGAAAATGTGCGGCAAATTCGCATTATAGTTAGCGATTTTCAACCGCAGGGCCAGAACGTATTGAATCAGAAAATGTAAGTGTTAAAATTTCATGGATTTATCTCCTAATCATTGATCTAGACTACGTTCAAGATAGCTACGTGTCTACAGTTTCACAAAAATGACGCTTTCCTGCGTCTACAAATTTACTGCGTTAATAACTTTTATTAGTTGTCGTTATATATCGAACATGACGTAGCGTTTCCTAGGAAGCAGAAATGTAGAGTGATTCAAGTTTGTTATAAGCCATCATAACCTCTTATTCAACTGAATATTTTCCAGAAGTTTGCAATCCAATGTCAATTGTTAACTTATTAATAAATTTTATCGTGTGAAAGTTTTCCGTTAGATCAGCATTTTATTTAATGTTACAGTCAAGGCCTCGTCAGTGGGTTGCAAGAAATCGATAAGCTCAAATCGCAAGTTCAGGATGTCCACGTACCTTTAGAAGTTTTCGAGTAAGTAGTTTGTTTTTAGACTTTTCATAATGATTTGAATTGTACAAATGATCGAATTTACAGTATAGAAGGAATATTGTGTACGAGAGTATATTCGTTTCAGCTACATCGATCAAGGAAGAAATCCGCAACTCTACACGAAAGATTGCATAGAAAAGGCATTGACAAAAAATGAACAAGTTAAGGGGAAAATCGATGGGTACAGAAAGTTTAAAGCAAATATGCTTGTCGAATTAAATCGTGTGTTCCCTAATGAATTAGCTAAATATCGAGCGATACGTGGCGATGAATAATCACTGTACATATTCACTTAATTCTAACGTTTAATATTTTTATGACATATTTATTAAAGAAAATACCACATTTTCCCTTGTGCGTTTTATTAAAGTAATCAATAAAATGTTTAAAAGTGAATATTTACTGAGGAAATTTAATACTCTCTCGTCGATACGATATTTAATACATTTCTAAGCCGTACAGACAATATCTTCCCAGGCATGACTACGAAGTTAACTTAAAGTGTTTAGAAAATAGGACACGGAAAGTTATAAAAGACTACCACGTCATCTTTGTGCAGAATCATTTAATATCGACCAGTCAAAGGAACAAGAACGATCATTAGTAGGTCGCTTCACTCTATCGAACTACAAATCCTTTCATTCCTGTTAACGATGTATCTTCATTTGAATATTGTATCATATTAGGTACCGTTCAATCCTTAGAGCTACTTCATCTACTGATTCTCTTATCGTTAAGTGCATAAGTTGTACCAGAGGCCGTGAGTTCCTTTTGAATTTCGGGTCATCCGGACATTTCTTTGGTCTGTGTTCGAGCCTTCGGCATATCTGAAAGATGGCTCTTCGAGAGGCCAGAAAATACGCTCGTGTCTTCGGACGACACTCGTTTCCTCGACCCTCGTCTCTTCAACTTTTTTAAGACGTACTGTCAAAAACAAAGGCAGTCTTCAGTACCCGTTCTGCTTATCGTCGAACGGCGTCTTAACAAAATAAGTTGTTAGCGTGCCCTTTCCCTTAACGTAGGTAGGTCCACGGCAAATGAGTTCGTATCCAGCACTCTTCAGGACCATCGCCGATTCCTCGGTGACTTGGAGTCTGCCCATTTCTCCACAGCTGTCCATCCTCGAGGCGACATTTACCGTATTACCCCAAATATCGTATTGAGGCTTTTGTGCCCCGACCACTCCAGCGATCACGGGGCCATGATTGAGACCTTAAAGAGAAACAAACCGATCAAGATGAAATCATGAAACCAAGTCAGCGATAATCCACCAAGTCATACCCATCCTCAGTTTAAACCTCTGAAAGGACTCCCTATTGATTTGATCTAAAATCGTCATCAAGGCAATGGCGAACTCGACGAGGACGATCACGTTGTGATCGTGACGCGTCTCCGGATCCTGCAGGAGGAAGAAAACCCATTTCAGAGTACCGTAAGGATTTTTAATATTTTATCATACCAAGAGAAATAAATAAAAAAGCAAATCTGTGGAAAACCGACCCTCTCATCGGATCCTTCCTTTCCAGGACTGAGACCCGACGCCAACATGTAGGTGCTCCCTATGGTCTTGATCTTCTCGATTCCTGAGAACTTCGGCTTCAGGAGGAGCTTGTCGAAGTCGCAGATTATCTCATTGAGGAGTCTCAAGCACTCCAGGCCCTGTTTATTAACGTCGGTCTCGTCGTAGAACTCCTTGTAATTCGGGATGGAGGCGAACATGACCGCTATACTGTTGTACCTCTCATGATAGAGATCCTGAAAATTCAGTATTAAGGTGATATGTGCCCATAATTATGAAAGTGGTCTAAGTCAAAATTAAAAAAAAAAAATGAGTTTATCAGTTATTTCACGCCACATTATTTCAAACTAAATTAATTCAATGTAATTTCGAAACAAAAAATACATGACTTAGACCACTTTCATAATTATGGGCACATATATATAATAATCTTTTCATATCGTTTTAAGACATGGAAGTTAAAAAATGCCGAACGAGGTCGATCTGAAAATGATCGACCCGAAGATGGACTTGAAAATTGATTATCCACTCGCCTGGTTCGTTCTGGTGGCCAAGAAGTGATCGGCTACGTGGGCCGGAAGTATGTTCTCCAGCAGGATCTTGTTGATGCCCCTCATGGTCTCCACCTCGTCCTGCTCGACCCTGAGCTTGCTCTTCCACAGGAAGTCCGTCCTGGAGGTGTACTCTATCTGCCTGTCCAAGACGTGGAGCACCGAGGCCACCAACAGGAGGAGGTACCCTATCTGCCCCAAGTAGTGGACACCGGAAAATCTGAACACAAGGATCAACACCCGCGACTCGAATCGCCGGACGAGGTCGAGGACTCCTCGGATGATCACCCTGGCTCGACATACTCACTCGTTGTTGCTTTGGGTGTAGCGAACGGCCACTGCCGGGATTTGCGAGAGAACTATCAGAGTTACCAGTATGGAGATCAGCGTCACTCCCAGCTTCAGGAGGAACCCGATGCCCAGGTGAGTCCAGCCTACCAGGAGGGCGATTACTGCCGAGTGCACGAACGCCTGAATGCAGGGACTCCAATTTAGTATATTATATATNAGTTAGATATTAAATGACAAATCAGACGTTCAATGAAATTATGTAATGATAAACTATCTGATTTTACTTAAAGACAATTAGGATTTCATTCGATTAGCAAACAATGACTGGTAACGTATATGCGTGTATAAATTAAAGTCACACTTTTTTTCATACGAGGAGTAAACAAAATATGACATATATTAATCTTATGACATTTGACGATCAATTATGACAATGACGATGACGATGATGTAAAAAAATAAATGACAGCACCAATGCAGTTCTGTTTTGTTACAAATATGTGCTGCATGTACACAGTAATCTCAGGACAGTAACATAATGTAAGATGAGAGTAACAAAGTTATGCTACATTTATATAGATATGATAGTAACAAATGTTATGTAACCCGTTAACTCCATGTTACATAACTGTTAAGATGGGAATACGAGGTCTCGGAGTGAAAATTTAATTGACCTGGAAATCACAGATGGCGCAGGGGGTTCCTCCGCAGTCAATTAGGGTCCCAGAAGGCATGAATCCAGAGGATTTCTAGAGTTTTATTTCGATTTCTTGATATTTATCGTACGACAACGACAGGTGGAGTATACCATTTGGTACAATATTCAATGTAATTCGACACAGCTGTCAATATAAAAACGAACGTCGGCAACGTAGGCATTTAGAAAAATCTTCTCTATCGACGTCGATTAAGTTCCTCGACGTGTTTCACTTCACCTTAATTTCTGCGCGCATTTTTATATTTGAAAGAAATGCGCAATGACTTATGCATCAACCCAATATATTCACAGCATGCCATGGTTTTGCTTGTCGAGATTCTTCCACATACCGGCACGAAGTCGGACCCTTCCGTCCGGTCGACGTCGACCAAGCTGATCAGAGAAGATGCCACCGCCAAAGTAGCCGTCGAGATGTAAACGGCGATCCCGATTCCTCTGGTGAGACCCGGCTTATCACTGCTACCGAAGCGACTTTCCGACTTGCTGGCAAGCCAAGATATCCCAGCAAGGATGCACAGGGAGACGAAACCAGCGGAGAAACACCCGTAGACCACGAGGCTCCTGAAAAAGGGAGGTCCTCGAAACCTGCGACTCCACTCGTCCACCGCAACCTCACCTAGGTAGATAAATGATCTGCAGGCAGAACATCGTCATGTAGAGGACATTCGAAGCTAGGAGATAGCGAGGGAAGTCTCGATCCCTCTGACCCGTGTACTGACGCTCCTGGGTGCTGTTTCTGAACCGGTAAGTCAACAGCGACAACCCCTCGCTCCCTCCGCACCATTGTCTGCGGAAAATATCAAAGTTACAATTTTAAGATCTTCCTACGGTTGGCTTCGGCCTTTCTTATGCCTCGTGCGTTTCTCATATCTCTGGATTCCCTTTCTTTTCAGGACCTTCTCCACCCTGAGGGGGTTTCAAGGGTTGAGAGGCTGAAGACGGCCTTTGAACTTGCAAGATGTCGGGTATTCCGGGCCAACACTTACTTAATGTCGAAGCAGCTCACGCTACTCGCCAGCAGGTTGGACTCGATCATCGCGATGCTCTGGAAGACGTGATATCATTATATTAGAGACGAGAAATAGCAGCCTAGCTGCCGAAGAGATGGACCATAACCCTCGTACCGTCAGCCCGATGTTCTTTGCCAGCGTCGTCTCGGCGATGTTCGCGAAAGGCTTGTCGGCTCCCCAGCATTCCACGTACTTCGTCATCTTACTGCTAGGCCGTGACCTGGTGGACGATTCCATCGAGTAGTTCAGGAGATTAGAGGATCTTTATGGGGATTTAATTAATCAATGGCAAGGGACATTGCCAACCTTGAAGGCGTTGGTCCGGGCACGGTCATGCATCGGTCCTTGCCCTCTGTCGCGCGCTGCTTCTTCGATTGCTGGAAGGCAATGTATATGCTTTATATTCGTTATTAATTAATTCCTTTTTTTTTTAAACCGGTTGCTTTATCGTTTCACCGAATGTTACCTTGGGTGGAATTATCAGGAAGGTCTCGACGTTGTGGTCGGCAAGGTAGCCCTCTCGCGATCCTCCCTCCCCAGGCTCGACCTCGAAGCGATCGCCCAGCTGGAGAAGAGTCGCCTTCGTTACGTGGACTCGCCTAAAAATTTGAAATCGACCTTTAAGGTGAAGTGAAACCTCCTTCAAATCAGTCGATACGAATACAACACTTTTATTTAAGAATATCGGACCAAACTGTCCGAAACTTTGACACATGACTCGTGATTATCTAATAATTGTCCTGACAGATTCAAAATTTGGATTTTTGGAAAAAAATGTCAACTTAGCCCAGGCCAGAAGTAAAACGGCGTCGAGCTCTCATATTTCGATCCACATACAATTATCGAATGCTTTGATATGAGAATCGAAAGGGTCAGGACAATTTTACGACAATTTAGAACACTCTGGTAATCGATAAACTCGCATTTGAACGGGATAAAGTCAAAAAAGTGTTTTATGCGCTTCTATGCCAAAACGATGGAAATACGAGGTCTCGGAGTGAAAATTTAATTGATCTGGAAATCACAGATGGCGCAGGGGTCCCTCTGCAGTCAATTAGGGCCCCAGAAAGCATGAATCTAGAGGATTTCTGGAGTTTTACTTCGATTTCTTTATAATTATTGTACGAAATCGACAGGTGGGGTATGCCATTTGGTACAATACCCAATATAATTCGACCCAGCTGTTGATATAAAAAGGAACGTCGGCAACGTAGGTATTTAGAAAAATCTTCTCTATCGACGTAGATCAAATTCCTGGTTCACTTCACCTTAAGGTACGAATTAAAGGGTACTCGGGGTACTCGCTTTACCGGAAACGAGTTTCTCGCATGGAGTCATCCTTCAAAGTATCTCAGCGAGTACCGAGTCGCTCCAAATTCCCGCTTCGAATCTCGGACCCCTGGAAATACCTCCATATATGGGTTTACGAGCTTTTCATGTACGCGGTACATACACGTATGGGGAGATTTAACGCATGACTCGAGCTCTCTCGTGAAATTCGACAGGCAACGTTTCGATTGATCTCACCCGGGAAGGCCGCCACTTTCCATGTGATTGGCAAGGGTTACATCGTCGCTCCAAACGTCGAATTGCCATTTCCGAAGCCCCAGGACCCCACACAGGACATTCCCCGTGTGAATGCCGATCCTCATGTCGACGTTGAAGCCGGTCGCCTCGCGGACAAATCTGCGGATCAATGGAATGTTCCCTGATTACGGGCCGACTTCCTTTATTGGCTTATCAACGTTCCCGCAAAAGTTTCAGCCCTTGTTCCACGTGGGTCCACGTTTTGAAGGGGTTGTATGCAGTCGTCATAGGCGAAATTCAAGAATTTCTTTTTCATAATAAAAATGAATTTTATAAGGAAACAGAGCGTGATTTCATAGTACCCCACTGAACAATGTTATATAATTGTTAGGTAAATGTTACGTTGTTGATTACGGGCCCACTTCCTTCCTTGGCTTATCAACGTTAACGTAAAAGTTCCAGCCCTTGTTCCACGTGGGTCCACGTTTTGAAGGGGTTGTATGCAGTCGTCATAGGCGAAATTCAAGAATTTCTTTTTCATAATAAAAATGAATTTTATAATCGGAAACAGAGCGTGATTTCATAGTACCCCACTGAACAATGTTATATAATTGTTAGGTAAATGTTACGTTGTTGATTACGGGCCCACTTCCTTCCTTGGCTTATCAACGTTAACGTAAAAGTTCCAGCCCTTGTTCCACGTGGGTCCACGTTTTGAAGGGGTTGTATGCAGTCGTCATAGGCGAAATTCAAGAATTTCTTTTTCATAACTAAAATGCATTTTATAATCGGAAACAGAGCGTGATTTCATAGGACCCCACTGAACAATGTTATATAATTGTTAGGTAAATGTTACGTTACTGATTACGGGCCGACTTCCTTCCTTGGCTTATCAACGTTCCCGCAAAAGTTCCAGCCCTTGTTCCACGTGAGTCCACGTTTAGAAGGGGTTGTATGCAGTCGTCATAGGCGCAATTCAAGAATTTCTTTTTCATAACTAAAATGCATTTTATAATCGGAAACAGAGCGTGATTTCATAGTACCCCACTGAACAATGTTATATAATTGTTAGTTAAATGTTACGTTACTGATTACGGGCCGACTTCCTTCCTTGGCTTATCAACATTACCGTAAAAGTTCCAGCCCCTGTTCCACGTGGGTCCACGTTTTGAAGGGGTTGTATGCAGTCGTCATAGGCGAAATTCAAGAATTTCTTGTACGAAAACGACAGGTATGCTATTTATGACAATACCCAATCTAATTCGATCCAACTGTCAATATAAAAACCAACATCGACAACGTAGGTATTTAGAAAAATCTTCTGTATCGACGTCGATCAAGTTCCTCGACGTGTTTCACTTCACCTTAAACCAGGCTCGGATATAATTCATCCCTTCGTTAATCGATACCTTATCGCCTCTATCATTTGCAGGCCCATGTTGACGCAGTTGTACGCGTGGTTCGGCCTGGAGACCGGAAGTCCGGAGACGCAGTAGTAGCAGTCCCCCAGGATCTTGATCCTCATGCACTGGTTGTCCTGGGGATTTTCGAGAGGATGTCGATCAAACGATCCGAAAAGGCCCTGACTTTACGAGGCGGTTTTAATCCCGGGAAAAGGGACGAGCCTCGCCTTATCTAGACCGCTACGAAGGGCGCATCACTGGGGGAGTATGTGGGGTAGGTAATGCGGATATATCCCGGGTATACATCCCCTGTACGCGCCTGGAAAAACCGTATTTACCCTCCGACGATGAGTTAAGCGTTTCGTGGCGTTTCCGATCCCGGAAGCCGAGAGGAATATCCCCCTTTGGGGAAAAACTGCGCCCGATGCGACGTCGACATGCGGAGGGGAGCAAAAGGGGAGGATTGCATTATCTCAGGGAGGAACGAAACCCCTGGGGAGGAATTTCCTCGCAGGAGTCATTCGGCCGTGAGGCGTAAGTGCAAGTTAATTAAATCTCCAGATAACCATCGGTTCTTTCAGCGTAATTTCATTTACGTTGCGTGTAAAGACACACAGCTGATCGCGGTTCGCACTCGGCGGCCTTGAACTTGCAATTTTTCATTAGGCGGGAAATTAAACCTACGGGAATCGTAAAGTTTAACGTCGCGGCCACTGGAGTGGGACTCGCGGTCAGCTGTTAAAGCCGCTTTAAGGGGTTATACCATTTGGAAATTTAAAAAAAATTTTTACGCGTTTATACTTTAAACGCGTTTTTTTTTAAACTACATTTTAAAAATCGCTGGGCACTCTAGATCCGCCAATTTTCTATCAATTGTCTTGATTCTTTTTTATTTTATTCGTGATATGTGCCCATAATTATGAAAGTGGTCTAAGTCAACATTAAAAAAAAAAATGAGTTTATCAGTTATTTCACGCCATATTATTTCAAACGAAATTAATTCAATGTAATTTCGATACAAAAAATATATGACTTAGACCACTTTCATAATTATGGGCACATATGTTTATCTAGCGAAATACGTATGGTTTTTTCAATGTATTGATATTCGCGTTTTTTATGCAACATTAATTAACGAAATTCAGGGCAAAATACGTATCTTTCCTTTCAAATCGATGCCATTTTGTGAAAAAGGCATATTTTTGAAAACGGCTACGTGTTTCGCTAGCTTTTGGGCTACAGACACCAATTCTTTTTGGTTCATTGATCTAGCTTAAACCTGGACCGAGTTATGTGCCCACCACACGATCATGGATTTTCGCAGCGCTTCGGTAAATCACCTTTCCAGCCGCCATTTTTGTAAATAAACAAATACAAAACAATATATTGTTGTTTAATAGTAGTATAATACCTTACTGTACTTTAATTTGGATAAAAACGTTTTAATTCTTAAAAAAAAATTCTTGAAAAACCGTCATTTTTGGGTGGGTCAAAGTGGTGTAACCCCTTAAGGTGAAGTGAAACCCCCTTCAAATCAGTCGATTCGAATACAACACTTTTTTTTAAGGGTATTGGATCAAACTGTCCGAAACTTTGACACACGACTCGTGATCATCTAAGAATTGACCCGACACATTAAAAATTTGGATTTTTGGAACAAATTATTTAACATCGCCCAGGCTAGAGCCAAAATGGCGTCGAGCTCTCGTATTTAGATTAATCTACAATTATCAAAGGCTCCGATATGAGAAACGAAAGGGTCAGGACAATTTTACGACAATTTAGAACACTCTGGTAATGGATAAACTCACATTTCAACGGGATAAAGGCAAAAAAAGTGTTGTATGCGCTTCTATGCCAAAACGATGGGAATACGAGGTCTCGGAGTGAAAATTTAATTGACCTGGAAATCACAGATGGCGCAGGGGGTCCCTCTGCAGTCAATTAGGGCCCCAGAAAGCATGAATCTAGAAGACTTCTGGAGTTTTACTTCAATTTGTTTATAATTATTGTACGAAAAAGGCAGGTGGAATATGCCATTTAGGACAATACCCAATATAATCGGACCCAGCTGTCAATATAAAAACGAACGTCAGCAACGTAGGTATTTAGAAAAATCTGCTTTCTCGACGTTGGTAAAACAAGATTTTCTAACTATTGTATCTTCGTTGCCGTCGTTCGTTTTTATATTGACAGCCCTGTAGAATTATATTGAGTATCGTCTTAAACGGCATACTCCATCTGTCGTTTTCTTACAATAATTATAAAGAAATCGAAGTAAAACTCCAGAAATCCTCTTGATTCATGCTTTCCGGGGCCCTAATTGACTGCAGAGGGACCCTTGCGCCATCTGTGATTTCCAGGTCAATTAAATTTTCACTCCGAGACCTCGTATTCCCATCGTTTTAACACAGAAGCGCATACAACACTTTTTTTGCCTTTATCCCGTTCAAATGCGAGTTTATCTATTACCAGAGTGTTCTAAATTGTCGTAAAATTGTCCTGACCCTTTCCATTCTCATATCAGAGCCTTCGATAATTGTATGTTGATCGAAATATGAGAGCTCGACGCCATTTTGGTTCTGGCTGAGTTAAAAAATTTTGTTTAAAAATCCAAATCTTAAATGTGTCAGGACAATTCTTAGATGATCAGGAGTGATGTGTCAAAGTTTCGGACAGTTTGGTCTAATACCCTTAAGAAAAAGTGTTGTATTCGAATCGACTGGTTTGAAGGGGGTTTCACTTCACCTTAAGGGAACTACGAAAGCTCTCCTGGTCGCTGATGGAAAGCGCGAATTCTGGGGTTACGGGCCGGGTGCAATTTGCTTTAACAGTCGAGGGAGCGCCGAAGACGCTGACCGCGTTGCGTTGATAGAGGCGATTAATTAATAACATCCAATTTCGCAAAGTTTCCTCATCCGAGGTTAACATTAATCTTGGATTGCACCGCAGGAGTCCGGGCTGTGTTACGGGTGGATGTCGGGCGAAAGATGCGGTGCCCACCGGCGTTGCTGCTCGGTTATGGCACGTCAAAGAGACTTTATTGGGAAACTTGGAGAGGCCGAGATCAGACCGAAACCTTTTGCGAGCTCGCGAAGTAACGCCAAGGCGGTTAAAAGGATGAAAATTTACGGAAGACCATAAGCCGGGTAATACCGTGAGCGGAACCGCGAATTCTTATTTTGTTCCCCCTAGTGGAGTTTTAGAGTCGACATAGTCGAATTCTAACGGCGAGCCTTTTCCTTTCGGAGTTATTGTTTTATTCCCTAGTAGCACAAAATATTTGTCCTATATTTTCTATATGTTTAACGAATATCCTACATTTTGTAAATATTTAACGGACATTTGAAATATTTGCAAAACGTTTACTTTAGAATGTTATCTCTATAATATTTATATAATATTAGCTCCATGGGTTTTCATAATGTTTTTCTACCAGACATACAAAACATTTCGTTTCATTTTAATACAAGTATTTTTTAAATATTATCTGCCGAATACATTATAAACGTTTTAAAAATACTTAAAATCAAAATCACACGTTTCGCTCCCATAATGAAACAGCGGAACGAAAATATTAGAAAAATTTCTCGTGTTTTTTCATACCAAATGAAGTCTCCGATAGTGGTCGTGAAGTAAAGAATATATTTTTATTATATTCATAGGTTAAAAAAAAATATAATTTCTATATATGTTTATAAATTATTGAAACTAAATGTGTCATTGACTTTTTCAAGAAATATTTCAAATATCTTCGAATGAAATCTACAAGAAATCTTAAAAAAATCTGTCGCTTGAGATATTCAGCAAAGATTACAAAGAAATATTTAGAAATTATTCTATGCTACTAGGGTTGTAATGTTTTCTTTTTTTAACCCTATTCTCGATTTTTCTGCAGGAATTGTATAGATTCCTGGGGGGTCTGCGAAGAGGGAAGGGCGAAGAGGATGCAACCGTGGAACGAGGACGCTCTATTTCCTCCATACCCGGTGATAAACTTTACTCGGACAATAAAAAAGAAGACGTCCTAGCAGTAGACGTCACCGAGTATCCGCAATTCCCGTGTTTGCTGGAGTTATTTATCGATACTCCAGACAGAAGTGCAGGGAAACCGAGCGCGAGCTATGGCATCCCTCCCGTTTACGCCCTTGGTATAAACCATCCGGATGGACGTAACCTTCGGTGCTAGTTTCTTGCAAATCGCTCGCTTTTCCTTCTCTGTTCTCACCTGGGCGATCTGGTCGAACCTCCCGAAGAGCTCGTTCAAGGTTTTCACCAGGTCAGAGGCGGAAAGCTGCTCCGAGAGGGGCGTGAAATTCACGATGTCCGCGTACAGTATACTGAAAGTGCAAATTTATAGTCCGTTATTAGCCAATTTATGGCGCGATGGACATGTATGATCGTTCAGACGGTTCCTCGAATTTTTCTCAGCCTTTGGGATTTTTATATAAATTTTTTTTTAGCCTAGGGTGCGTCGAGTCTTCGGCGCGGCGCAGCTGATCAGCTGATCAGGCTGATAAGCGATTAATTAATGATATCGGCCGATCGCCTGACCCCCGGGCATGCGAAAACGGATTTAAAGGGAACTGCCTCGACGGGATTAATTCGAGCATGGGCCAAACGAACGAGTTAACGATTAGTTTAATTTTTTCAGTCGATGTTGAGACAATTTTCTCACCTGACATTGTTGTGCCGTTGTACGTACATCTCATGAAACCGGGTTTGCTTGTGAGCGTTGGCCTCTTGACAAGCGTCCGCCATTTTCAGCATAATACTTCGTTTAACCTGAAACAGGGATAGGAAAGCCATCATTGAGCCATTCATTGAACCAAAGACCCAGTGAACACTGTTATATAACTGTTGGGTAAATGTTACGTTTTCGAAACTAACATGTTACGTAGCATAAAAGTAACATGGAAGTTAGATGTTAGTTATTAATTCCCACTCAGTAAGGTAACATGTTATGTAACATGTTATATTAATGTCATAATTTCAATTGCCTTAAAATAATATTAATTTTTCATATATTTAATAAAAAGGATCACACAATTTTATCCATAATTATATAATTTCTACTTTTAATTATTTTTTGATACTTGACAATAGTTAGATATTAAATGACACATCAGACTTTCAATGAAATTATGTAACGATAAACTATCTGATTTTATGTAAAGACAATTAGGATTTCATTCGACTAGCAAACAATTACTGATAATGTGTATGCGAGTATGAATTAAAGTCACATTTTTTCATACGAGGAGTAAACAAAATATGACATATATTAATCTTATGACATTTGATAATGAATTATGACAATGACGATGACGATGATGCAGTAAAATGGATGACAGCGTCAATGTAGTTCTCTTTTGTTACAAATATGTGCTGCATATACACAGTAATATTAGGACAGTAATATAATGTGGGATAAGAGTAACAAAGTTACGCTACATTTATATAGATATGATAGTACCAAAAGTTATGTAACCCGTTAGCTCCATGTTACATAATCGTTAAGTTACTGCATTGTAACAAATGTCATGTAACTAGTTAGCTCTATGTTACGTAACTGTTAGGTTATTCTAACAAACGTTATGTTATTTGTTAGTTTTAAGTTACGTAAATGTTTGGTTTTTACATTGTAACAAACGTTATGTTATTTGTTAGTTTTAAGTTACGTGACCGTTAGGTTTGGTGTTCAGTGGGGAAATGTTTCGTTAATTCCCAGAATAATTATTTGACTCAGATAAATTGTCATAATTTCGAATAAACCTTGCCATCCAATTTATTCCAGCTTAATTGAGTCAAATAATTATTCTTCGGATTAAAGAAAGTATTTCTCTGGCTGAATGATATTTCTTTCGTTCATTTTGAGCAGTCGGATCGAACAAAGTCAATTTGACAAATCGACGCTGCTTTCGCGAAACTCGAGGGAGTTTCGGTCTAATCGAATATTTTATTCGCCTGATGAGGAAGTGATTTCAGCCTTTGATTTCAATGCCTTTAATTCCTTTCCCGGGAACTTGGACATTACTCCTCATTTCCAGGGGTAGATCGAGTTCCTCTCGATACTTCCGATACGAAGTACCACCGCTCGCGGCTTAATTTTCGATAACTTCGTCCTCGGCTTTTGCGCCAGGGAGACGCAAATCGACTAATGGCTCCATGAGGGAGTTCCGTCTCTGCCGAGGAATTACGCCGTTCTAATTTGAATTTCCTTCAAGTTTCCGGTGGCGCCTATATACTCACACTTACCCACATTCACTGTGGCAAGGGATATACAGGATAGAGTGCACAGACGGTGCAGTCAGTGCCACGGGGCACCAGGGCAGATTTTCGGGGTTACCAGGCGACATCCTTTCCGGGATAATTCAGCCAGGTGGAGGTGAGGTAGAGGCGAAAATTTCCCCCCAGGAGGCCGCTCGTGGGAAATCCTCGACGACTTCTGTGCGGAAAATTATCCCGAGAGGAGAAGGCCTCACCTCGGCGGCGATGTAAGCCGGGATTACGCTGAGGAGAAGTTGCTCCTGTTGTTCCCTCTCGCACTCGAGTTTCACCCGAGACTCGATGACGGTCCTGGTGCCAGTGAAGGTCCTTCGACGAGCCCTGGCCGTCAGCATCCTGAAGTAAAGCCCTGCAGAGATGGCAGCGAGGAGCAGGACCGTCTCCCCTGCGGCCTGGTAATTTTATCAGATTTCTCTCTTGCCTCGTTGATAAAAAAAGAAATTGTTTAAAAGGACCACCATTAAGGTGAAGTGAAACATCCTTCAAATCAGTCGATTCTAATACAACACTTTTTTTTAAGGGTATTAGACCAAACTGTCCGAAACTTTGACACGTCACTCCTGATCATCTAAGAATTGTTCTGACACATTCAAAATTTGGATTTTTCAAACAAATTTTTTAACTCAGTCCAGACCAGAACCAAAATGGCGTCGAGCTCTCATATTTCGATCAATATACAATTATCGAAGGCTCTGGTATGAGAATCGAAAGGGTCAGGACAATTTTACAATTTAGAACACTCTAGTAATGGATAAACTCGCATTTGAACGGGATAAAGGCAAAAAAAGTGTTGTATGCCCTTGTATGCCAAAACGATGGCAATACGAGGTCTCGGAATGAAAATTTAATTGACCTGGAAATCACAGATGGCGCAGAGGGTCCCTCTACAGTCAATTAGGGCCCCAGAACGCACGAATCCAGAGGATTTCTGGAGTTTTACTTCGATTTCTTTATAATTATTGTACGAAAACGACAGGTGGAATATGCCAATTGGTGCAATACACAATATAATTCGACCCAGCTGACGATATAAAAACGAACGCCGGCAACGTAGGCATTTAGAAAAATCTTCTGTATTGACGTTGATCAAGTTCCTCGACGTGTTTCACTTCACCTTAAGCGTTAACGAGATTTACCTGCAGGTAGTAAGCGGTGTCCTTGAGGTCGACGTCCATGAAGAAGTGGCGACACTTGTTGCCCAGGTAGAGGATCGCCAGGAAGACGGCGACGAAGGAGGGGCACTGCTTCCTGGCCCTTGGAAGAGCGGATGCGATGGCCAGGATGCAGGCGCAGAGGGGAACGGGGGCATCCAGGGCCAGGATGGCGGGACCTAGGACCAAGGACGACACCAGACCCACCAGGAACCGCGCTCGGGACGAGGACAGGATCGTCGGGAAGTGCGAAACCACCAGCAGACTCGTGGACGAGAAGAGCATCGTCGTCAGGGCGCACATCGGCAGGAGCACGTGCGCGAGGTCCTTGAAGAGAAAGTGCCTTAAATCATTATTAAAATTAAGATAGGACCCGCAATCTGGACCGCTATCACGAGGGGTGCGGGCGAATGTATAGGTATATGCCTGTATATACACATTTTTATGTAAACCTAGTAAACGCTGGTCGACATCTTGTATTCTTGTGTAGGTACCGGCGTATCGTGCATCTCGCCAACTGCCTCGAAGGTACGGCCAAAGTTTATCACCAGGAGGCCAAACTCGCCCCCGGCGTTAACTGGGCCTCCCGATATTAACTGCCGAGTTAAACTCTCCCCGGAGGTTAAGTTTAACGATCGAATTTCGGAGCAACGTCGCCAGGATGGGAGAGTCCGCCGATCGGGGCAATAAAGAGCGACAACTAGGGCGTGGTGAGGTTGCCACTCTTTCAGGACGTATCGTCTCGGACCTGCTAGAGTTTCATTGAAATCCAGACACTGGGGGATGCGGTGTCACGGAGACTCACGTTGACGTGCAAACAGCAGAGCGCGACGAGGGCGGAAAGTGACGCCAGGACGGCCACGAAGAGATTCCCGGTGTAGAGGCTGGCCGTTAATTTTCCCTCGTACCTGCTTCGCAGGTCCTCCAACTCCTTGTCGCTGCTGTCATCGGCGATTGCCTTGGCGGTGCGTTCTGAAAGAATAGGGAATGGTCAGTTTTCGGCCTCGACCTTCTTTGACTATCCACGGGGTGCGATTAATTCATCCAAATTAAGGTGAAGTGAAACCTTTCAAATCAGTCGATTAGAATACAACACTTTTTTTCAAGGCTATCAGACCAAACTGTTCGAAACTCTGACACGTCACTCCTGATTATCTAAGAATTGTCCTGACACGTTCAAAATTTCGAATTTTTAACAACATTTTTTAACTTGGCCCAGACCAGAACCTAAATGGCGTCGAGCTCTCATATTTCGATCAGTATACAATTATCGAAGGTTCTCATATGAGAATCGAAAGGGTCAGGACAATTTTACGACAATTTAGAACACTCTGGTAATCGATAAACTCGCATTTCAACGGGATAAAGGCAAAAAAAGTGTTGTATGCGCTTCTTTACCAAAACGATGGTAATACGAGGGTTTTACTTCGATTTCTTTATAATTATTGTACGAAAACGACAGGTGGAGTATGCCATTTGGTACAATACACAATATAATTCGACCCAGCTGTCAATATAAAAACGAACGTGGGCAACGTAGGCATTTAGAAAAATCTTCTTGATCGACGTCTATAAAGAAGATTTTTCTAAATACCTCCGTTGCCGACGTTGGTTTTTATATCGACAACTGGGTCGAATTATATTCGGTATTGTCCTAAATGGCATACTCCACCTGTCGTTTTCGTACAATAATTATAAAGAAATCGAAGTAAAACTCCAGAAATCCTCTGGATTCATGCTTTCTGGGGCCCTAATTGACTGCAGAGGGACCCCCTGCGCCATCTGTGATTTCCAGGTCAATTAAATTTTCACTCCGAGATCTCGTATTTCCATCGTTTTGGCATAGAAGCGCATACAACACTTTTTTTGCCTTTATCCCGTTGAAATGCGAGTTTATCGATTACCAGAGTGTTCTAAATTGTCGTAAAATTGTCCTGACCCTTTCGTTTCTTATATCGGAGCCTTTGATAATTGTATATTGATCGAAATATGAGAGCTCGACGCCATTTTGGTTCTGGTCTGGACTAAGTTAAAAGATATTTTGGAAAAACCCAAATTTTGAATGTGTCAGGACAATTGTTAGATGATCACGAGTCATGTGTCAAAGTTTCGGACAGTTTGGTCCAATACCCTTGAAAAAAAGTGTTGTATTCTAATCGACTGATTTGAAGGGGGTTTCACTTCGCCTTAACTCCTCGCGTCGATTCGCTATGAGCCAGACGAGGGTACGACGTCGCGACGTCTTGAGGTCTATTCTTGCTATTCCGGGATATTCCATAAAGGTCTATTCAGGTTATCCGACACGTATCGGTACCGATACCGATAACGCGGTTCAATGGCACCGATTACCTTGCCTGCGTTTCGACCCACGGCGCCGGATAGGGTGAAAGGTTGGGTTTTTACGAACCAAGGTTCACATTTTTTATGGCAGTCGAGCATTACACCTGCCCTGCGGGATGCACCTTGCACGATGCTCGCCGGCGATGAAAGAATCGATGGAAAATTGGATGAATGGAAAGCGTCGATGACGCGACGTCGTTGCTAGCGACGAGGTAGATCCTCGAAAGAGCCTCCATCCTTATTTTTTACGCCGGATTTTCCATCGATAGGAAGGATCGTTATAGTCATCCCTCTACTGCCATCCCTCGCGAGTTTGAACCGGGGGTCGAAGGTCGAAGAATCGACTTTCGGATCCTGGAAACGGGAGAAGACGCCGGAAAGCGTCGATGACGCGACGTCGTTGCTAGGGACGCGGTGAATCCTTGAAAGAGCCTCCATCCTTATTTTTCCCGCCGGATTTTCCATCGATAGGAAGGATCGTTATAGTCATCCCCCTTGTGCCATCCCTCGCGAGTTTGAACCGGAAGTCGAGGGCCGAAGAATCGACTTCCGGATCCTGGAAAGCGTCGATGACGCGACGTCGTTGCTAGGGACGAGGTGAATCCTTGAAAGAGCTTCCATCCTTATTTTTCCCGCCGGATTTTCCATCGATAGGAAGGATCGTTATAGTCATCCCTCTAGTGCCATCCTTCGCGAGTTTGAACCGGGGATCGAGGGTCGAAGAATCGACTTCCGGATCCTAGAAACGGGAGAAGACGCCGCCTCGAATTCGGCCTGGCGTCCCGATCTCGATATCCATCGGACGTTTATAAACCGTTGCAAGATTCCCTGCGTGGGCAGCATCCGTCTCGAGTGCGTGTTCCGAGTATCTTTAAGCGCCCGCGGTGATCCGATTAGATCCAGACTCGATGTAGCGGTTTATGTGAGTTTACGACTCAGGGCGGCAGCGCGGCTTGCGTCGTGTCGAGCAGGAGAAAACGCGTCGACGCGTCGCATCGAACAGGAGGAAACGCGTCGACGCGTCGCATCGAACAGGAGGAAACGCTTCGACGCGTCGCGTCGAGCGGCGGAAAAAGCGTCGCATCGAACAGGAGGAGACGCGTAGCGTCAAACGGCGGAAAAAGGGTCGCATTGAGCAGGAGCAAATGCGTCGACGCGTCGCGTCGATCGGCGGAAAAAGCGTCGCATTGAGCAGGAGAAAATGCGTCGACGCATCGCGTCGAACGGCGGAAAAAGCGTCGCATTGAGCAGGAGGAAATGCGTCGACGCATCGCGTCAAACGGCGAAAAAAGCATCGCATCGAGCAGAAGGAAACGCGTCACGTCAAACGGCGGAAAACACGTCGACGCATCGCGTCGGACGGCAAAAAAAGCGTCACATCGAGCAGGAGGAAACGCGTCGCGTCGAGCAGCGGAAAAAGCGTCGCGTCGAGCAGAAGGAAACGCGTCACGTCAAACGGCGGAAAACGCGTCGCGTCGAACGGCGAAAAAAGCGTCGCGTCGAGCAGCGGGAAAAGCGTCGCATCGAGCAGAAGGAAACGCGTCACGTGAAACGGCGGAAAACGCGTCGACGCATCTCGTCGAACGGCGAAAAAAGCGTCGCATCGAGCAGAAGGAAACGCGTCACGTCGAACGGCGGAAAACGCGTCGCCGCGACGCGCCCAACAGCTGGAAACGCACGGCTGTGGTCTCGAAATTAGCCGAGGCGGATTCGTGCGGCGATATCCCGCGGGTTCCGGGACGCGGGCGTAAAATCGGCGTATTTAGGAAACGAGAATGGGCGACGCCGCGGCGAGGCCAAGGGCCTATTTCGAGCGCGGCGAGCGTCGCGGCGGCTCGAAATCGAGGAACCTCCAGGTATCCGACTCTCGAGTTCATTCGATCAACATTCTCACGCGAAATCGACACTCTCATATAGGACTTTTAAACGTTGACCAACGACGGGACTTTGCAACGTCAAATTTCTCTGGGGAATTTATTTGTCGGGGGGAAAAAAAAATCCGTATAAAGTCCCAGGGCGCGCCTCGGGGGGCGAAACCCTTTCGGGCGCACCTATTCGGTTATACTTATTCACGGGCGAACGTCACGATGCATTTAGATGCATTTAACGACGCGGTCCCGAGTTTTCGCGCTCCTCGCCGTTATTAATCTGGCCTCGGTCCAGCGGCCAGTGGGACGCCTGTCGAGCATAACTCGCCGCGCGAGGTCCGCGTCGACGAGCGTGACTTAGAACTCATTTTCCCCAGTTTTCAAATTTTCACGCTCCCTTTTCTTTCCCCCAGGACCGAGACGACATCGGATAGCCGAAGGAGCGGCATCGATCCGGGAGAACGATCCCGAGGGAAGAGCGAGGAGGACGAAGGACGACTCCTGGGGAGGATTTCCAGGTCTCCTCGGAATCGCCGGGATTTTCGGGCGCACTCGTCGCCCTGGAAAATTGGCTGGTTTATCTTGAACCAACCGGAGGAACTCGGGGTGACATGGGTCGACCCTTGGAATCCGCACCGCGGAATCCGCGGAACGCTCTCTGGAAGAGAAACGCCGAGGCGCCCATCGCCCTCCTCTGGCTCTCGGCCAATGGCTACTATTTTCATTTCGCTCGAGAAGACGGCTCTGCATTTATTCCCTAGAGTCTTGGCCGTGTCCTTTGATGCCGAGCGCTGGCATAATTCGCTTCCTCGGAGGGGAAGTCCCGGACTCTTCGCCCGTAGGATCGCTTTCTCGAAACCCTTCCTCGGTATCGATAGACGATACGTTTTATCCGTCCAAAGGATCTTGCGAGACCCCGCGGAATTATTCCACCGGCCGCGATGAACGCGGCGGTAATTGACTGGCGGTCGTTTCGATACGATTAACCTTAATTATTCGAGGTTCAAGTTCGTGCGATCAATTCCTCGTCTCCGTTTCGGCCGCTGCGGTGAACTCTTCTGGGTAGAGGATCATTTCGGGATCGAGTTGTCACGGAATCTCTGGCGAGGAATCGACGAGCTTTTTGCCGGGAGCTTGCAGGCCTCGTGGATGAAAAAGCTGGGAAAATGTAGGAAAATGTTGGAAAATGTACGGGGGCGAGGGATCTCTTTTTCGCGATCAATCTTACGTCGCGGCCTCTCTTATGTTTCTCGAAGGATAGGACGTTTTATCACTCTGGCTGGGCCACCGCGGAATCGGTCCCATTTATCTGGATTTTCGAGACAAGGACTGACGGTGGAAATATTTTCGAAGGCGCGAGAAAATTTAACGCGAAGTCTTGAAACTTTAGATGCTTTTAGGTGAAGTGAAACTCCCTTCAAATCAGTCGATTAGTATACAACACCTTTTTTTTAAGGGTATTGGATCAAACCGTCCCAAACTTTGACACATGACTCGTGATCATCTAAGAATTGACCCGACACATTCAAAATTTGGATTTTTGGAAAAAAACTTCAAACTTTAAACTTTGAACTTGAAACTTTAGATGCTTTTAAGTGAAGTGAAACCCCCTTCAAATCAGTCGATTAGAATACAACACCTTTTTTTTAAGGGCATTGGATCAAACTGTCCGAAACTTTGACACATGACTCGTGATCATCTGAGAATTGACCCGACAGATTCAAAATTTGGATTTTTGGAAAAAAACTTTAATCTTTAAACTTTAGATGCTTTTAGGTGAAGTGAAACTCCCTTCAAATCAGTCGATTAGAATACAACACCTATTTTTTAAGGGCATTGGATCAAACCGTCCGCAACTTTGACACGTGACTCGTGATCATCTTAGAATTGACCCGACACATTCAAAATTTGGATTTTTCGAAAAAATTATTTAACTTCGCCCAGGCTAGAACCAAAATGGCGTCGAGCTCTCGTATTTCGATCAATCTACAATTATCGAAGGGTCCGATATGAGAAACGAAAGGATCGGGACAATTTTACTACAATTTAGAACACTCTGGTAATCGATAAACTCGCATTTGAATGGGATAAAGGCAAAAAAAGTGTCGTATGCGCTTCTATGCTAAAACGATGGAAATACGAGGTGAAAATTTAATTGACCTGGCAATTACAGACGGCGCAGGGGGTCCCCCTGCAGTCAATTAGGGCCCCAGAAAGCATGAATCCAGAGGATTTCTGGAGTTTTCATTCGATTTCTTTATAATTATTGTACGAAAACGACAGGTGGAGTATGCCATTTAGGACAATGCCGAATATAATTCGACCCAGTTGTCGATATAAAAACCAACGTCGGCAACGGAGGTATTTAGAAAAATCTTCTTTATCGACGTCGATCAAGTTCCTCGATGTGTTTCACTTCACCTTAACATCCATTTGGGCCTAAATCGCAGGATTTTTATAATGATAAAAATCTAAATGGTAGGATTTTTATGACGATAAAAATCTAAATCGCAGGATCTTTTATAAAGATAAAAACCGCAGGATTTTTTATAAAGATAAAAATCGCAGGATTTTTTATAAAGATAAAAATCGCAGGATTTTTTATAAAAATAAAAATCGCAGGATTTTTTTATATAGATAAAAATTGCAGAATTTTTTATAAAGATAAAAATCGCAGAATTTTTATAACGATGACGTTTGGATAAAGGATAACAGAGAGGAAGAAGAGAATTGTCACGAGTCCGACATACAGCGATCGGTCAAATTGCGGTTAACTTTCGGGTAGGATCCTTTACCTCGAGATATTTTCTCAGCGAGAGTTAAAATGATTCTCGTGATCGATCATCGGCACGTTTAGCGGGTCTCGCGTTACCCAGCAAATCGGAAGACGAGGGTCGGGATGACTTCGGTTCGATCAGCCAAAACTCATTACGGAGTGATTCGACGTTGATCGATCCCACGTCCTTACGCCTTATCGTGGACCGCATTTGTGGTGGACGGACGATTAATCGACTTCCGCCCCTGCCCTGTTGCGCGTATATTTCATATGTATTAAATGTATATACCCGTAATCGTGTACATGAACCATCAAATGCACATCAAAGCGGCCGAGGGAAGGAAACTCGCGTAGCCGCAAAACCGGCACGCCGGATATCCAGCAAACGCGAAACGAACAGAAATTAAGGGAATTATTTCCTGAATGAAAAGTTAATTAGAAACCACTCGTGCCGGTGGGAGCACATCCGACTATCCTCCTCCCAACTAAAACGAGTAGTTTCGCAAATGCAATTCGACATTACAAATTACCTTCTTCTTCGTCCATTACGCTTAAGAGATCTCTTTGGCGAGAGTTCCTCGGATTAGGAATGGTCGACTCGTTTCGACTCCTCCGCGGGACTACATGCGCTTAATTTTTACGTGGATCTTCCTAGCGGATGCATTATTTATTTCAATCCTTCTTTTTTTTCCTTTTTATTTACTTATTTTTCTTTTTAAGAAACAGTTCACGCGATGCGCGCACGGTTAGACTCTTTAACGGCGTTTAGTGAACTTCTCGCCCTACTTGTATGGAGAGACTTTTGTCGGATATGTTAATTGTTATTAAGAAACGTGTTATTAGCAGGGAGGAACGGCCGGCCGCGCGAATTCCGCGTGCGTTTCCGCGGCCGTGTCGCCCGCAACTGGTGGTCGCGCTCACTCTCGACTTGCTCCCTCCATCACGGTGCTATAACATGTTCTACGTAACTCTGATGTAAGTTCCTTCGAACGGAAGGCTCTTACATCTCCGAAGACCGGGATGGAAATCATCATCCACGGATCCTAACTGAGCGCCGCATTACCTTTCCAACTGCGTAAACAATCTCGCTGCATCCTCAAAGATAATTAGCTTCGACTTAAGGTGAAGTGAAACCCCCTTCAAATCAGTCGATTCGAATACAACACTTTTTCTTAAGGGTATTAAACCAAACTGTCCGAAACTTTGATACGTGACTCGTGAACATCTATGAATTGACCCGACACATTCAAAATTTGGATTTTTCAAACAAATTCTTTAACTTAGCCCAGACCAGAACCAAAATGGCGTCGAGCTCTCATATTTCGATCTATCTACAATTATCGAAGGGTCCGATATGAGAAACGAAAGGATCGGGACAATTTTACTACAATTTAGAACACTCTGGTAATGGATAAACTCGCATTTGAACGGGATAAAGGCAGAAAAAGTGTTGTATACGCTTCTATGCCAAAACGATGGAAATACGAAGTTTCGGAGTGAAAATTTAATTGACCTGGAAATCACAGATGGCGCAGGGGGTACCTCTGCAGTTAAATAGAGCCCCAGAAAGCACGAATCCAGAGGATTTCTAGAGTTTTACTTCGATTTCTTTATAATTATTGTACGAAAACGACAGGTGGTGTATACCATTTGGGACAATACCCAATATAATATAGTATATATAGTATAATAACTGAGCGCCGCATTACCTTCCCAACTGCGTAAACAATGTCGCTGAATCATCAAAAATAATTAGCTTCGACTTAACGCTTAAGGTGAAGTGAAATCCCCTTCGAACCAGTCGATTCGAATACAACACTTTTTTTTAAGGGTATTAAACCAAACTGTCCGAAACTTTGATACGTGACTCGAGAACATCTAAGAATTGTCCTGACACATTCAAAAGTTGGATTGTTTAACAAAACATCTTTTAACTTAGTCCAGACCAGAAACAAAATGGCGTCGAGCTCTCATATTTCGATCAATCTACAATTATCGAAGGCTCTGATATGAGAAATGATAGGGTCAGGACAATTTTACGACAATTTAGAACACTCTGGTAACGGATAAACTCGCATTTGAACGGGATAAAGGCAGAAAAAGTGTTGTATACGCTTCTATGCCAAAACGATGGATATATGAGGTTTCGGAGTGAAAATTCAATTGACCTGGAAATCACAGATGGCGCAGAGGGTCCCTCCGCAGTCAATTAGGGCCCAGAAGGCATGAATCCAGAGGATTTCTGGAGTTTTACTTCGATTTCATCATAATTATTGTACGAAAACGACAGGTGGAATATGCCATTTGGTACAATACCCAATATAATTCGACACAGCTGTCAATATAAAAACAAACGTTGGCAACGTAGGCATTTAGAAAAATCGTCTTTATCGACGTTGATCAAGTTCCTCGACGTGTTTCACTTCACCTTAAGGGTTAGTTAAGGAACAGGGAAACCTGTTTTAAACGCGCTCTCACATGTAAAGTTCTCTAAGCGCTGACAACGGGTTCATGGAAACATCTCCTCGGCTTGTGGTTTCGGAAAGCTTATTTATTTTCAGTAAATTAAAAAAGAGAAAAAAAGACAATAAGTCCGTTGAGATAAATGGTTCGGCGACGAATTTCAACGGTGTGGAAACAGCAAATGCTGTTGGGGTGCGCGTGATAATTTATACGAAGGTTCTACATTGTGTAACTGTATGCGTGAGTGTTGCATCCGTATGGAGTATGACATGAAAATTAAGAAGTAGAGTATCGGTATGGTCGCTTTCATCGATTTTTCTGAACACAGTGGGGGCGAGTCTCAATTTCGCCTGTAACATCAGTGGCAGTGACATTGACAACAGGGATGCTGCGATCTCGATGCGAGAACATTACCCTTATTGTGTATAGCTTCTTTCGATAATCGAAGAAAATACATTTGTACACACGAGAATTCCTAACGGCAGAAAGGTCCTCTCTCGTGTCGATCAGTTGTATCTCGGATCCTCGCAATTGCTTTGCAATTACCGTTTACATGAATCGTTACATCGTAATAGGGAGAAGGAATGCCTTCGTCGTTGCATCTCAATTATGTACAGACGTCTTCGTTGATGTTAAAGGAATTCCATTTCCCTTTCGATTCCAACGAACTTGAGTTGCTCGGTCGGGCCATATCTGGAAGATTGATAGAAGTAATTTATATTCAGTAGTTGTTAGAATAATTCGTTAACAGTGTATGGGAATTAAGAGACACATTTACCTGTAGTCAAAGAACAATTCTTCTCCAGGCTGAATGGCCCTCTTTGCGAAGATACCAATTCTGTGGTCTCCGTTGACCATCATCACCTTGGCGTAACAGTTGGGATTGATCGAGTGATTGGCAAATCTGATTTTGTTTCCTTTCCTAGTGGCATCGACTACAAAATCTGAAATGGATATTGTAATAATAGTGGAACAAATTCAGTAAAAACACCATTTAACGTCATCTTTGGTTGATATCCACTACTTACCATTGTTTAGATTAAATAGGAAGCTGCACATGTATTTGTCGTACACCTTTCCTCTCCTATCAGCTTCGTCTTGGCTGATGATCTCGCCGCAATATTCCGAAATGAATTCATTCTTAGCGGCCGATTCTTTAAGAAAAATGCCCCATCCGGCGACATCGGATGGTGCCATCAGGAGGTGCTTGTCTGGAGAAGAAATGGGAATATACTTTCGAGAAATTCAGCACCAGCTGAAATAACAGAAAATATGTGCAGATGCTTACGCAGTCCCCGTTGGACACTGACGTTCTTGCAGGAAATCCTGGTGATGTGGAACTGATCGGCGCCGCAAGTTTGACAAAGGTCGGGGTCGCATTCACGAACAGCCAAGTAACAAGGGCATTGTTTTGTATTGCATTGAGCCTTGCACCTACAACCAGGAAATCGATTTTGGCACTCGCTGCTGCACTGGCAGAACTTCTCACAGAAGTTCTGCGCCTGAATACATGGGCAGGAATTGTCGCACTGCCGGCCAGGGTGGTCGCAAGGTGCGAAATTGTGAACGTGATTTGCTCCTGTAAAAATTAAAATTCAGTACACCTGTGATGGAAATTATTAATCGACGATTTGACGAATTCACCTCCTTAACGAATAGCTTGAAATTACCTGAATCTTTCTTTAATTGTATTTTTCTGCAGTGCATGGACCACAGTCGGTGTTTCTTTTTCTTCTTGCGTGGAGGCGTGAAGTCCTTCAGACTCTCAACCGCAGGAATGTCAGAGGCTTCTTTTTGAGCAAATTGGTAAACCTCTTGGCAACTCTTCGTAAGCATAATTTGAGCCAGGGCGCACGGATTTCCAGGAAATGCTTTGTGCAATGCCCTGAAGAGACTTTGCTCGGATCCAGTCCACGAAAATTCACTCTCAGCTCTAATCCACTTACGTTTGTCCAAGCCTAACAGGGTAAAAGGCGTTTGATTCTCTGGTTGAGCTTGGTCCTCCATTGTGTCCGCAGGCTTCGACTCTTTATTCACATTTTGTTTAAAATCTGGAATAATTTGTACAATTTTAATATTCTTCGTTCTTTCGTAACATTTGAATGTTAGAACGTTGCTTGTAGTAAGGAATTTATTCTCACCTTGGCAACTACCACCTTGGCTGTATTTGTTACTGTCGTTACTGTCTTCGCTGCTGGCTTCGTTTCCAGAATCGACACTGGCCTGCTTTCGAACTTTTCTTGGTCCTCCCCTTTTCTCATCGCCATCCTCTTCTTTTATGTCGGCTGCTTCAGCCGCAAGCTTCTCCTTCATGCCATCCTATGGGAAATACAGAGATTTTACTTTTGCACTTAGGGCATTCATTTTGCATTTTACAGCAAAGGACAAAAGTGGCTTACCAAATGCATATAACATTCCGAACCGCATGGCTCGGCAAACGGCTTCAAATCGGGCCCCTTTCGCTTCTGCAAATTTGGCCCAGGATGACAGACTTGGAGACCTACGAGTAATGTTTATATATCGCTACAGAATGAATCTTCCTTGATCATCCCGTTTTCACTCTTTTCTATTAGAAATCCCCCACTCCCCTTTCTCTCTAACAATCTAATAGTACTCGAAACAGAACAACGGATGATGAACAAAATATGATTTCAGATGAGTCCTTGATGATGCCTCTGTGCTAAACAAAAAAAGGCGTTCGAGCGAGTGTGCTTTCTTTGGTATTCAGTGTTGTTCTTTACCTTGCGGCGAAGTCCCCCTGGCTGCTACGGTAAATCAGGAATCATAAATTATTGTAATTAATGAGCGTCCCACTTGAATAAAGTTTGTAACATAATTAAATTGCACAGTCGTAAATAAGCACAATCGTACAAACATTAAGTTTATAATTCTCTACTTTAATTCACTTAAAGTGTCGAGTAGCTTTAATCTTTCTACGATCCTCCTTATTACGACTCAGATATAAGACAAATCCATTCTATCGACGATGAAGTTTACTCACGATGAAGGAAGCAGTCGTACTTGAAACACCTTCTGCAGAAGAGTGTATGAAAGGAGTGCATCGTCTGTTCTCTGGGAACACTCTTGGCATTCACGCCGTCAATGTTTGGTGTACACTCCGGAGGTAATACATTTGGATCAGATCTTTCAGTTAACTCGATATATTTCTCCTTCAGTTCTTCGGGTCTGCCTTTGTCAGGAAACATGCTTGAAATTGCCTACGATAATAAATTGGATTAAACCTTATGCAATACATTACATATTACCGAATTCTATTCCAAAGAAATTACAGACATACGTTAAATATCTGCATGGATGGAAAAGGAACGTCTTTTTCCCTCTCAAGGTCTTCAGGTTCTTTTTTTACTTTAACTTCCGTTTTAAAGGATTCTGTATCTTTTCTGTCCTTATCATCATCTTTCTGACTTTCCTTATCTTTCGATGACTCCTTTCCTTTCTTAGGCTGTTCTTTTTCTTTATCATCTTTCTCATATGTTAACAATGCATTCACTAGATCGACAAAAATGGAATCATCCATAAAACCTGATTCTCTATCACCATGAACCTATAAAAATTAACTCATATAATTACAATATGTAATTTAATACACTGACGTCTTTACCTTTCCATCATAATTTTTTATTAATTCTTCTATGAACGTGCCATCCTGATCCAAAATCTCATCTCCCATATAAGGGATATTATGTAGTACTGTCTCATCTTCGACCATGAAGTTCTGTTGTATCGGTGCCCAGGTGTACATTGTTGGTATAGGCGTAACGGCATTGATCATCTTAACAGGACACGTCTGAATGTCCCCATCCGAACTCGATACTTCTGCTTTCTTCATGCACGAAACGTGTGCCGGAATATCTTGCATAGCCAACCACATGGCTTTTCCATCCACCCAGCGTTTTTGTTCTTCAACGAGGAGTTCTGATTTTCGATACATTATTGAAATTGATACAAATAGGACATCATTGTCGAGAGATCTTTAACTAATTACTTCACATTGTATCCGACAAATTAAGCAATTTGTAGAGTTTATCAAAATATTTGAAAGTACTTAGAAGCAAAGTCCTAAAAGTCATTAACTGATTTGAAGTCGATCAGTGGTTCCAAAAGCCATTAATCAATACTGACCTGTCATATTTTTGCGATTCTGGTTCCATGCAATTTTTACTTCGTCCGCTCGCTTATACCGTTTCATCTGCCTGAGTCGCATATACTCCGATTTCACGCGTTTTCTCCATTCAGCGGATACCTTCGCTTTCGACATGATTGTAACGAGTCTGTACACTTTTCAGGAAACTTTGAATAAGTTTGGAAACTGAAAAATGGCGAAGCGATCACCTGATGTCGTCAACTCGACACAACATAGCAAAAGATGACACCCAACAGGATACAATTTGCCGGCGCTTCGTCTTGTCCGCGTCGCAGAGTCAGGCAAGTTGAGGAAATAAAATACCCCAGGTAATTTACGTGCAGAGATGAGTTGGGAGATTGCTCACAGGCAGGGTCGCGCGATCGCATCGTGTGCTGCCCTCTGGTTTCGTACGTTAGCTTTCACCGTTTTTTGCCCCCAAGGGCGGCGCAACGAATTTCTGGTAGGGGCCAACTCATCTCTGCCAAATCAGAGATGAGTTGAGAGATTCACAGGAAGGATCGAGCGATCGCGTCCTGTGCGACCGGTGGAGGATGCAGACGGCTAATGCACTTGCCATCTGTTACACTTCTGGGCAGCCGGAGAACCGGCTGAAAAACTGAAGAACTCCTCGGACGGTTCAGGGCCAGAGGGCGCGGTAAAATAATTTTGTAAGTTCTTTCGGTTGCCATCTTGATTACAATTGCACCTATGCATTTAATTTCTTTAAATTCGATTAACGATGGCAACCGATGAAAGATGTATGCGAGAGATTTGAGCTCGGGGGTCAGAGGCATCCCGGGATGTCCTCCTTAGATTAGGCTATTTGTCCCCGGGTGGAATGAGAGAGAATCGTGGAGTGAGTGTGTTGGAATGAGTGAGGTTGATTTTTTAAATATAGCTAGGGAGGTAGGCTAATTG